ACCCACCACCACCCCCACCACAACAACAACAACAACAACAACAACCACAACAACAACAACAACAACCACAACAACAACAACAACAACAACAACAACAACAACACTACATCACCACCACAACACCACCACCACCACCACAACAACAACAACAACAACAACAACACCACCACATCACCACCACAACACCACCACCACAACAACAGTATATTAGGGATTGTGAAGGCCACACCCTACCGACGCCACTGCTCTGCCGGCCCGCTCACAAGAGTAGAGGTCGTCAGAAGGCCGGGCCCAGAATCTTGAAATCTAGACCAATAATTCGCCCAAGAAAGCGGGCGCAAAGGCTAAATCGATCCTAATCCTAACTATAATACCACCAGAGCAATATCCTGTGCTCGATGGAGGAGACACAGCAGTACGGAGTCCTGGTCGGGCCCGTATTCTCAGTTTATCACGGGCGGCCAGGTACGACTACTTGGTTAACGACAGACTGACCTACTACATGTCATCACCGCATGCTGCGATGATCCTATCGTTAGGTGCATCGAAATTCTCGATGTAGTTGAAAACAGTAGTCTGTTATGACCGTTAACTGAGGAACACTCGCAATCCGGGCAAAAACAGATCCCAATCTTGTGCAACCCATCGGCACGCCACTGTGCACGTTTCGCCAAAAAACACACGCGACTCCCACCGACAACAGCAGTAGAGTAGTGTTGTGGGCTCACCACACACTGCAACACACGAAGAATAAATGTTCACGTCACAGGCGAGAATTGTCAATCCCAACGTCTTCCTGAAGGATAGAGCTGTTGGAGTGGGAGAAATACAAGCATCGTGTTTTCGGCCGTTCGACTCATCCACATGGATGGAGGCGTTGCTGAAACCTCCACCTTTGGGTGTGTAGCTGTTATTCTTAGACATGTGTTGTTCCGTGAAAACAAAAACGGAGGCCAGAGGACGAGAATTTTCGGCGTTGTCTCTGTGGCTATCCTCGACATGGAAATCCACTCGTGACCTTCCTTGATCCTCCCCTCTTCGTATCCAATGGTCTATGGGTAAGGAAATTGGAAGCGAAATAGCCGTGGAAATAAACGGCCCTTATCCTACGGTATTCTACGAGAGCAGTCCCGTGGTATTGCCTAGGTCACGGGGTTACATATGCATTCCGTTAAGCCAATCAAAATCACACCTCAGGCCTCTCCGGATCTGCCTCCAAGGTGTTGTGGTCCGATATGTGCAGCACCCACTGCTCGCACTTCATGCTCCCGTCTTCAGAACAGGGGCCAGGAGACCGCAGTCCATATCTGTACTGCGCCGAGTACACCTGTTGCATCCATTAAACCGGCGGAAATCAGGCCTACAGACACATGACCGTGGTCGAATGCTAATGATAAAAACACACATCAGCCTTGTACCGCGCTGAGCACGCTCTCTGATGCATTTTCATTGTCAGCCGGTGAGAACGGTCGATGCCAATTCAAAACACGCACACACACACAACTACACATTATAACATCATGACCCCCCCTCACGGGGTCTCAGATCGTGGTCTTGAGAAGCATTTTGTGTTTTCGACCGCACTGAGACTGACGATTTTTCATTGGTCAGCCGATTAGCGCGGCCGACGCTAACGAGAAAAACACACGCACATCTGGACGTGGGGCCAAACATGGTGGCTGCCGCGGTCCTGAGCTACCATAAGAAGCGTTGACATGGCACCCCCCCTAAACCACAGAAAACTGGGGCACATGCTGCGGTTTACGTCGTTGTGGCACTGGTGGTGGCAGCGTGCTGCTGCTGCTGCTACTTTTCGCGCTGCCGTTGGTCAGCATGCCAGGAGGACAGCATCCTTTGCTCGAGGCTTGGTTGCGCAGCCCGCTGGGGGTGGTGTGCGAGTGTCAAGACCCTCCCTCGTGCTGTGTGGCAACGTGGCATGAGCGACGACAGCAGCCAGTCGTGCAGTCTTTGCCATCTTATTACCCCCAGTGGAACCACTTTGGTTGGGAACTCCGGGTTGCGGTTCGCCCAACGCTGGATTCGACTAAACGGGATAGGGTTGGAAATGCTTGTCCGATTGTTTTGACCCAGAGATCACAGCTTGCTCAACGAGGGGAGTATTTGGCCCGCCCCAGACGTCGGTGGAAGTGCGTCGGCATTTTCTCGAAACAAACGTGATACCATATACAGAAATGTCGCCCGGTCAATCTGACGTAGGCAGCAGCCATGAGAAGAAGAAGATGATGATGATGAAGTGTACAGTCCGGTTGCATGTACACAGCAGTGTCCCATCACAGGACATATTCCGCACGGACCTACTTGATGCCACCGGTGCTGACCGCAGTGCGAGTTGTGCACAGGAGCACCAACTAGTCGGCCGGTCGTCCACAGCAGAAAGTCATTGTCGAGCCTTTGAAGGGCCGGAGTCTGCCTATACTGCGGGTGGATACTAGCGGTGGGTGCCCACCTGGGGTGCAACAAGAGGCGACGTTGCCCGCGGTCTCACGCAGGCGGAGAAACACTCACTGCTTCATTGCTGCTTTGCAACTTGGTCCAACGGCAAAAAACGTGCATCAACCCAAGTGGCGTGTACATGCCTTAATACGTAGTAGGCGTACCGAGGCCAAACCTTCGGTGCCGTTTTCGATCTCTGGTGCAAACAGCTTGGGTGTGGGGTGATTCGATCAAGAGAAAGAAGCGTCGCACACGACTGAGCTGTTGTGGAAAAACACTCCGCCGGCTCTTTTAATACACTTGAAAATAGAGTACTCTTTGAACGGTCCCTCCACAGACGAGCAACAGTTCGTGTCACCAGCCATGTTTTTTTTATCTCTGGATAGAAGAACCCCACGACCACCTCACTTGCGCCCGAGAGAGAACGGTTAGTGGAGGTGGCAGCATCGAAGGCTTGGCCTCGATGCGTCAACCCGTTCGAGTATATATAACGTTACTGCGCGGCGTTATCGAAGCGCAGTCTCTTGGTGCACCTGACGTGCAGCTGTTGCCAATGCTTTTGCTTGGACACCGGAGAGAGTTTGTCCTGTGTTCGAAGCAGCAGGAGCTGAACTTCGCAACACCCAGCCTCGCTGGAAGATGTCACCGGGGGCTGTCCGCTCTCAAGTTGTAGATTTTGGAAGATTTGTTACCCAACAATCGTGACACTGACAAGTCTTGGCCCTACATAAACAGTTCAAGATATATCCCAAACATTTTGTCCCAATAAAAACGGGCCTGTAAGCAGCCTGTTGCTGATTTGGGCTACGGTACATGTTTTAGACAAATACCGGATTCTGGAGAGAGATATCGGCTTTTCACGACCCTCTCGTAGCCATCACATTTGGACAGTGTTCCGATCAAGATGGTGAAGATGGCTTCTTGCGGCACGTCCGGAGAGTGCGCAGGGGCAATCTAAGCGGTACCGGTATCCCGCCGTTATAGCGCTGTTTTCGGTTTTTGCCGCCACCGCCAAAGTCGATACTGTACCGCCGAAAAACGAAAAATACCGCCAACCGCCAACACGATGTACAGCACCGCCGTATGGCGTAACCGCCGAAAAAATACCGCCGTTTTTTTGTTTTACCGCCTCCGCCAAAGTCGATACCGCCGAAAAACGCAAATGCCGCCAACTGCCAACACGATACCGCCGTATGGCGTTAACCGCCCAACAAAAATCGCCGCATGGCAATACCGCCAAAAAATCACCGCCATATAGGTACAATACCGCCTACCGACGGGCTGAGTGGGTACAAGATTTGTTTCGTTCAACGTACAGTCAAAGTGCACGTCAAGGAGTCAGAATCCAGGCGTGGACTTTTTTTTTTCCCCGCATTCCTGATTCATTTGTCATTTGTTTTTATTTATTTCTTATGTTTATTTCTTCTTGTGGTTCTGGAGTTTCGGGTTCGTTTTCGGGAGAACCCTTTGAAATATTTGGTGGACAGGGAGACAGGGACGCCTGGGGCACGGGGCGCGTACACGCCGCACACCTGCTCCAAGACCACCGTGGTCCAGCAGAACAATGAGCTCCACAGATAACACAATTAGTTCTAATGCCGGTGATGAGTCGGCTACTTTGCAGCAGCCTGGTTCAGCGCGCAGACAATGTTAGAAGGTGCTGCTGTATAGCCAAGAGTCGCAGCAATCCGTGCAGGAGCAGGAGAGCGAACACGTCGATTAAGACCTCAGCCAACAAGATACCACGAACGATCGCGTGAATCGTGCCGCGAAGGAGATGTAATTTGTAGTTTTTACGTTTTCTAGTTTGTTTTTTGCTATATCAATTTTTCAGGGGTGTTCACGGTGTGGAACCGCACCCCGGTGCGTTTTGTTTTAGATCTTGACATGGTCACGGTGCGGTGCGGTGTGGTTTTTACCATCTCTAAATTCGACGGTGCGGTGCGGTGTTTTTTTTTCATCTCAAAATTCGACGGTGCGGTGCGGTGCGGTGCGGTTCACCGTCGCACGGTTTTTTTGACGGTGCGGTTTTTTCTACCCCGTGACAAAAACCGCGCGAACCGCGGCCTTGGCGGCGGTTCACCGTCGAAGAACACCGCGTAGAATACTAGGGTTGTCCGTGACAAAATGACGGGGTCTCCATGATTTTTTTTTTTCGTGGAAGAACCGTTAGGCCGAGTCTTCCGTCGTGATTATTTCGGGATTTGTTTTGGGGGGGGGGGGGTGGACTCATAATCGTGCATGCCGGAAT